CAAGCTACTAGCGCATGCTTGCTAGTAGTTTGATATGAAAGACTTAGGAGTTGCCGATATAATTCTAGGAATTAAAATCCAGAGGACTCCTCAAGGTCTAGCTTTGTCTCAATCACATCACGTGAAAATGGTACTTGAAAAATTCAAACACTTGGAATTTAGAAGTGCAAGAACTCTAATTGACTTAAATCATCATCTCATAAAGAATAAAGGTGAAAGTACGTCTCAATTGGAGTATGCTCGTGTGTTGGGAAGCTTAATGTACATCATGAACTGTACACGACCTGATATAGCTTGTGCGATAAGTAAACTTAGTCGATTCACAAGTAATCCCAACAAACATCACTGGGTAGCAATGAAACGAGTTCTGGGATATTTGGAATATACCCAAGACTACGCTTTGCACTACAATAAATATCCTGCGGTTATCGAAGGATATAGTGATGCTAATTGGATAACCGGCTCATCAGAAACAAAGTCCACAAGTGGATATGTGTTTACTGTTAGTGGAGGAGCAGTATCTTGGAAGTCTTCCAAACAAATGTGTATCGCTCGCTCTACAATGGAATCAGAGTTTATAGCGTTGGATAAAGCCGGTGAAGAAGCTGAATGGCTTCGGAATTTTTTAGAAGACATTCCGTTCTGGCCAAAACCTTTGGCTCCTATTTGCATACTTTGCGATAGTGAGGCTGCAATAGGACGGGCAGGGAGCGTTATGTATAACGGAAAGTCTCGTCATATACGACGAAGACATAACACCATTAGACAACTAATTTCTAGTGGAATTATCACTATTGATTATGTAAGATCAAAGGATAATGTGGCGGATCCGCTTACAAAAGGCTTAACTAGAGAGGGAGTTGAGAAATCATCTAAGGGAATAGGACTATGGCCGAGGACAAGTCAACATGGCGGTAACTCTACCTAGAATTTTGGATGTTCCGAGATCTAGGTTCAAGGAGCTCAAACAAAGTTGTGATTGACCGGTTCAACATTGTCAAAATAAAATCTTTGGTCCATTCTCGTGATGAAGACAATGTTCAGTAACAAGGATAGAACTTTACACGTTCTTTAATGATTACCTAAGTTTGATGAGGTATTTATCAAATAGTGTCAATCTAAAGGATTACACGTTTAGGAATCACCTATGTAAGTGTGAAGTGGAAGCCGCTTCAATGAGAATTCTGTAAGGCCAATTCTCTACACACTTATGAGACCAGGCGGTGTTCATGGCTGAAACGAACACAACAATGAGAACTAAAAGACGGTTAAGGGTTGATTGTGTGACATATGGTTGTCTAGGTATACACTAAAGTTCGACGGTTCAAAGATATCAAATCTACCGATTGACCGAGTATATCCGACATATGTTCACTACCGAAAGTTCAAAGGGAAACCTATTTATCCAGATGCAATTAATCCTTACTTGCAAAAATCACATAGCTTTCATCTATGATCTTTCTTGATACAGCCATTTCCATTCATGTGGGAGATTGTTGGACTTTAAGCCATTGGGCTTTAAAGTAGAAGAAGTGTGAATTGGAAATGGAGGGAAATAAAATGGAGGGAAATTGAAAATTTGAAGAAGTGAACTTTTGTCTTGCACTTTGTCCCTCATTGGTGAGGGACAACCACATTTGTGTGCTTATATACAGAATCACTTCTTAAAGCTCTTAAAAGGAGTTGAAAAGAATGAACCCTCGCGCCGTCGTCGTCGCTCGCTCGGCTTCGGCTTTGGATTTGGATTTGTCAAATCGATCGATAAGATTATTTTTGGACAAAATTTATTTAATTATTTAATAATTAATTAAATGCCAAATCACTGCTGAAAATACGCCAGAACCCTGCTGAAGGTTCAGAGGGCCTCTCTGGCCGCGGTTCTGCCGCGACCGCGGTAGAACCGCAGCAGGCAGGTTCAGAAAGCCCCTCTGACCGCGGTTCTGCCGCGACCGCGGTAGAACCGCGGCAGGCAGCGTATTCTTCTGAAAAAGCACCTTTTCCAGACACCTCTTCTGATAATTGCCTATAAATTCTGAGGCAAGGCTCCATTTTCTACACACGAAAAACACTCCAGAACTTCTTTCTTTCTGAATATACTGCATCCTAATTCGCAGTCTCTCTCTCTCAAATTCGTAAGTGTGATTTTGCTCCGTTCTTTGAGTTCGTTGGTATCCTGTAGTTTGTATTTCCACTGTTGCAGGAAGGTTTATTCCGTTTTATCCTGGGAGGATTTAATCCATTACCTTGGCAACGTGTGAGGGGGTTAAAATTCCTTAAGGACACACAAGAAAATTGTGGACTCGGAATATTTCTTAAACTCTTCTGTGTTTCCAGTTTCTTTTATTTTTCTAACAGTTTTTTCTGATTTTTTGGTTTAACACAGTAATGCTCACATGGTCTTTATTATATGACATGTGGATTTTTTGGTCCTATATTATTTAAAAAAAATTTGACGTTACATTATACAAAATTAGTAACATTATCATCTCCAAACATAAAAAAAAAGGATGAGAAATTTTACCTCCAAGAAGCCATTAGTATCAGTAGCCAAAGCTTGCAACCGATACAAGTTTAAGTGGCCAGGAAGCCATTACGCCACTCAGTTTTTAAAGCAAAGTTAAACTATTTTTTCCATAAAAATAAAATAAAATAATAATAGGTCAGAAATACAATATATAATGCCTTTGTTTTTATTCATTTCCTTTTCTTTCCCTTTTTCCTCTACAACTTTTCTCTCCAAAGAGGAGAGATCCAGATTCCCAGCTTTCAAGTTTCAACCTCAAGATCTCGCTCTCTGCTCCACTGAGTTCTCATCTCAGGTACCTCCCCAGTCCCTTATCCCCCCCCACCCCCCACAATTTCCATTCAACCCAGCTCAAACTACTTAATTCCTGTTAACAAGAACCCAAATTTGAAGTTTTTCTTTTCATATAATATACTAGCATATTATATGTAGTATGAAACTCTTCTTTTCTATTTATACCTCCTTTTTCCCTTTTTTGGGTATTTGAAACTCGAAAGATTTATTAAATTTGAAAGAACATGGCGAATGTACCACTGCACCCACTACTACCTTTGTGGCAGTGAATGGAAACTTAGTAGTATAAAGATAAATATTTAGTTCAAGCCAATGGCAATCTGCTTCATTTTAAATATTCAGTTTAAATATTTGTTTATTGCTCATACCAATAAAATACTGCTATGGTTATAGTTAAAGCCGCTAATAGCAAACCACAATAACTGGTTATAGTGATCCTGAAAGCGCTAAATTAAATAAAAATGTGCTCTGACCCTGAAAGCGCTAAATTAAATAAAAATGTGCTCTTTTTATACATATGTTTGGAATGCGCTTAACTAAGTTCCCATTTTTGCAAAATAGGAGGATATACAAAAATCTCAATTTCAATTGAAAGAAGACGATCCTCACCCATGTTAATGGAGGAATATGTTAGTCTTTAGTTTATCAAACATGATTTTAATGAATGCTTTGTTAAGTTGCAATCAGTTGTTCTCTAGTGTGGGAATTTCCTCTTTTCTTTTGTTTTCCTTTTCGGTGAAAATCAACTTTTCTTTGAATCAAATAGATATTGATAGATTACAGTCAGTTGTTCTCTAGTGTGGGAATTTCCTCTTTTCTTTTGTTTTCCTTTTCGGTGAAAATCAATTTTTCTTTGAATCAAATAGATATTGGTAGATTACAGTGTTGTTTCGTTTTACATTTAATTCAAATGGCCTTTTGAATCTTTTGAAACCAAAAAAGAAGAAGATTTCTAGCTATAGTTTGCTTTTGTTCGTTTATTTATTTCATTTTTTAAACAAAGAATTGAGCTTTTTATGTTGTCTACCTCCGAAATCCTCAGAGAAGCTTCACATAGGGGTATGGCAATCTTCAATACAAGTAGAGCTATTTTGTTCGTCTTAATTCTTAATGTTGCCTAGTCTTGTATTTACTTTGTTGTCGAACTTTTAATATAAATGTATAGCGTTCAAAACTTTTGTGCTTATACTCTTATTGACCTGCAACTAATGTGGAACATGTTTCAGTAATTGCAACTCCGTAAAAAATGTCAAGAAGGCCAAATACCTCTCGTCGTCTTGGAGATGCTGGGAGCATTCCGTTTGTTGGCTCCTTTCACCCGAAATCACGTCCATCTCCTTTATTGTCTATAGGACTTGTGGTTGTGGTAAATGCCAATTTCGTTTCTTCACCACCTGCCATCGGCTTATGTTTCTCAATTATTATTATTGCTACATGATCTGTGCGGAACTTAGGAGCTTTTCATTTTGGGTATCCAATCAATTCATCCCCCAATTATAGTAGCTTAAGCAGATAGGGCGCAAGGCCAACGAAAATGAGGGTTTGCCTTGCCTGTTTCAAAGTAACGCAGGATGCATGAAGAAATAGAAAATTAATTTTAACATTATTTTGATAATTCAAATACCATAAGTTTGTCAATCCCCCTTCCTTAATCTCAGTGCTCATCAGTTTATGCGAGGGTGGAATGTATCCAAACTGATAGATCTAATTCCGCATATAAATATCATCCCTTCACGCTTACTGATATATCTGTCATTCCATTTCTGGGCACGTTCATAATCTACTTTGCTTTTATGGTGCTACTCTTTCTGTAAGTTTGAGAAAATGTTGCCAACCAAATTGTCCTGTTCTTTTAATCTTATTATTGGATCTTAAATGATCCTAATACAGTAATATCCACTGATTAAATTACTTTTTATGACTTTTCAGGGTGCATTGTTGATTATTGGTTATTTATATCACGGTTCAGGTTAATGTTTTGTCTTCTATGTTGGATATTTCTCTCTAAGGATCATGTCTTGGCTGTGCAACTATTTCTTCTGTTATTTAATCTTCTATTGACATATTTGCAGGATTTCCTACTGTCATCATTTTCTTAGATTGATTGCTGGCTCAGTATCCTGTTTCTGTGCCTTCTAAATTACTTCTTTCCTTTTCTGTCTAGGTGGAGCTGCTGATGCTTTCAGTAGACTTGAAGGTAACCAGCTACACTACCTGAATCAGATCTTGCATTACTATTCAAAATGATTACTCGAGCATTTTCTTTCTTCCAAGGGAGGTTAAGTGAAAGGCTATAGTTACAGTATTATCAAGACCTTGTTACTTCTGTCCACTAGGGGTACCTTTTTCTGTGAGATATTAGTATCCCATATATTATTTTTCTCTTGAATTTTTGAAATCGTTTTTTGCAAAGAGATCCGGGTTATGATGTTTGTAAAAGCTCCAGATTACTCATTTATATACACTGCTCAGAATAGCATTATTGTTAGCTTTTCTATTCCTCATATTTCCTATGAACTGTTTTTGCATACTGGCAAAGGAATAATTGCAGCTCTTGCAGTTATCTTGTTTAGAAGTTAACTTCTTTGTTGTTATAAATAAAACTTTTATAGGTGGTGTTTCATGCACATCAGAACTTCAAAGAGCATTACTGCTATTGAAGAAAGCATATGGCGACAGCATGCGGAAAGTATTGCATGTGGGCCCTAATGCTTGTTCTGTGGTGTCTACACTGTTAAAAGAGGAGGGTACTGAAGCATGGGGTGTTGAACCCTATGAGTTAGATGAAACTGATGGAAATTGCAAAAGTCTTATTTACAAAGGAATTGTGCGAGTAGCTGATATCAAGTTTCCTCTTCCCTACCGTTCAAACTCATTCTCTCTCGTAATTGTGTCGGATGCAGTGGATTACTTGTCTCCAAAATATCTCAACAAGACTCTTCCAGAATTGGCAAGGGTGGCTGCTGACGGTTTAGTTGTTTTATCTGGTAAAGTTAAAGAATAATCTCGGTCTTTCTATTTCCTTGAATAGCTCAGCTAATATACATTTCACATATAGAATCTGATTGGGCCATTGAAATGCGAGGGAAGGCAATCTTCATAATAATTGCTTTTAGGATGTATTTCTTTTTAGGTTGATAGTTGAGCTAATATAAGCTATTTTACATTTTGATAAAATATTGGGTTGCATTTTTAGGTTATCCAGGTCAGCAAAGGGCTAAAGTGGCAGAACTCTCAAAATTCGGCCGCCCTGTAAGTCATTGATCTTCGCTTGTGCTTAATTGTCAAAAGATCATATGTTTATCTATTTGCTTTAAGATTCACAAACAGTAGTCATCTTTATTTAAGGCATAGCTATCCATCTTATTCCATATGCTTTATTAAACCAAATTCCTATAATTGTTTTTGGTATTGTGAGTCTTGATGTTGATTGTTAGGTGTACAAAGAAAATAACATACTGGAAGTTGATAAGAAAAATAAGATACATATAAAGTGTAAATACTTATAATCGCGTAAGGCCTTTTAAGGAAAATTGTGCTGACCAAAGCGGAAAACTATCACACTGTGTTAAAGGTACTATTGGGTTGGTTTAGCCCAACTACTGGTTAAAGAGCCGATGGTTTGCCGAGACGAGCATGGATATGGCATGGAACAGGTCGGTCTATTGCCTTTACCCATCTGTGGGCTGGTTTACTACTTTTACCCATAGTTTGGAGATGCATACACAAAGAAGCCTGTGGGCTTTGGTCTCCATAAATAATTGGATGATGTGGGTGGCACAAAGTTAATCCCATGAATCTTGGTGATGGCCATGTGGAACTTAGTTCAAGAGGGAGAGTATTGGTGTGCAAACAAACTCCCGCATCAGAAGTTGATGAAATAACGAAGCTACATATAAAGTGTATTGATACTCTTAAGGGTTGGAAACCATACGAGCCTGGCCATCTCTTTTGTAAAACCAAAGTTTGTGGATTCAACAAAATAAAGATATGTATAATCTAATTGGGCCTAAGCAATGACAATCAATCACTCACATTTAGGATACTTTATTTACTGAACCACCTGTACTTCTGATCTATTAGGAAAAATAAAAGCAACACAAAAAGAAGAAAGATTCTATCCCCTTGGTTGTGACTAGTTAAAGCTAGCCAGTTGTTGCTTAATTTTGGCCTTCTGTTCAAAGGTATTCTCTGTTATGGAAGATTGAAACTTGCCTATCTTTCTCTGTTAAGGCCAAATTGCGGAGCTCATCCTGGTGGATTAGATTTTTTGTTCAATCCAGCTTAGAAGAGAATGAAGTTGCAATCAAGAAGTTTGAACAAGCAGCAAGCGAGAATTCTTATAAACCGGCCTGCCAAATTTTCCACCTCAAACCAGTCCACTGAGATCACTTTACCAAATTATTGTTTGCCACCACACTCTGATGCTCCAATGGTGAAATATAATTAGTGTTGAATTGGCAATTTTGTTGTAGGAAGTTGGTTCTGTAAGATAGCCTCCATGAATATACTACAATAGGGGCTTGGTATTGCTTCTTGTGGCTGCAGCACCCAGCTTATCATATTCAGACCTGACTTGATTATTGTGTAACATCAAACACAAAGTAATTTATTATTCATTTATCATATTGTAAGTTTCCCTCAGAACTGCTTATTCCATTTATAAACTAGTCTTACATTATCTTGATACATACCCTTCTTAGAGGTTTCCTATTGATATTCAAAATACTCTGGGGAATTGCAATGGAATTTTCTTGTGGAGCAAATTTCTTTTTTCATTCTGATATATGTAGGTGTGGTCAAGCAGAGAGGAGGACTAGGCAATTGTTAATTTCAACCGTCTGACTAGGTTTTGAATGATTTGCTTCTATATCTTATAGTCTGATTGTAAGTTCTCTAAATTTTCTGGAATTTGTTCCTAGAGGTACGCTTTGCACACTGATAAAAAACAAAACTAGAAAAAAAGAAGAGAGGAAAGATGAGAATAAGAACTCCTGAATTTGTATATGTATAAATTTGTTATGAGCTGATAATTTAAAAAAAGAAAAAGAAAAAGAAAAGAAATCAAAATAAAGAAAAGCATTCACAATCAATCCCAATAAAGATGTTTACCTTTCTGCTGTCTTGTTTCTTTTCTCATTCTTGTAAAAATTGCATTCGGCGCCCCTTTTTAACCTGTAGCCGCTTTGTCTTTCTGTTTGCACCTGTACCCACTTTTTAAAAAACTTCAGCTTCCCTTTCTCCTCCCCTTCTCCTTCTTCATTTTCTCATTGTCTGGAAACACAACTCCGTGAGGACTGAGGAATGATATGGTCATACCATTGATCAGAAAAAGGCACCAATTTTTATCCAACAAAAAAACAGCAACACAAAAATCAAATATGTTGTAATATAGATAAAACATAGAAACCGTAAAGAAAATGGAGAAACTGATCATCAGCGATCAGAGATTCAAATGTTAAAAAGAAAAGTTTTCGAAAACGAAATAACATAATAACAAAGCATTTATTTTGCAATAAAAACAGAACGCAAAATCGGGTGCATTAGTTGATCACAATACAGTTAATTAGATGTAACTGTATCTTCTTGGTGTCCTGAGTTGAAGTTAATTAGCTGAAGTTTTTCTTTTGTGCTGGAAAACTTCAGCTCTAGAGCTGAAGTTTTTGTCTTTGTAACCGGAAAACTTCAGAGCTGAAGTTTCTATGTTGTAACTAGAAAACTAGAAAAAGCTCTAGAGCTGAAGTTTTCCAGTACAGCTCTAGAGCTGAAGTTTTTATTTTATAACTGGCAAACTTCAGCCCGGTTACTAAACAAAAACTTATAAAATAAAACTTCAGCTCTAGAGCTGAAGTTCGCGAGTTACAAAACAAAAACTTCAGCTCTAGAGCTGAACTTCAGGCCCGGCTACTAAAATGCTGAAGTTTTGTGTGATTGCCTTTGCTACTTCAGCCCCGTATGCTGAAGTTATGCAAAAAAGCGGGTACGCTTGCAATTTTTTTTTTGCAAAGCGGGCACAGGTTAAAATGTGGCACAAAAAGCGGGTATAGATGCAAATGCCCCCTCATTCTTCGTGTTGTCAACTCTTGTAGGCTGTAGCACAATGTACGATTTGCTTGTATGGCCATTAGGTGTGGCAAACGGGAGGGTCGGGTCGGGTCGGATATGGTTCAAGTCGAAAACGGGTAATGAAAAACGGATAAATTATCCGACCCGACCCATATTTAATACGGATAAAAAACGGGTTAACCGGCAGATAATATGGATAAAGATATTATCCATGACTTATTGCATATAATCACTTTTGGGAGAATGTGTTGGGTTTTGGATGTATTTAATTAATATATTAAATACTTAAAAGAGGGTGAATGGGAAATAGAGGGAAATGAAATTTTTGAGTGAAATTTTAAGTTCTCCCCTTGGCAAATGGGCATTGTCCCATATTGGAAGAGGAAGAGGTTTTTTATGGGTATATAAGCAATTGCTCTTCTTCTAGCTCTTAAAGAGTTGAGAAGAAGGCAAGCCTCGCGCCGTCGTCGTCGTCGCTCGCTCGGCTCGGCTTCGGCTTCGGATTTGGTCAATTGATTGATTAACTTTTTGGACCAAATTTATTTGTTAATAGTAAAATATTAACAGAAATGTTATTAAATATTTATTTTAATAACAGAATATTAATATTAAATATTAATATTAAATCCAATCCCCTCTTTATTTTCCCTCTTTATTGTTGAGTAAATGGCCATTTATGTAATGGCATTTATGCTGTGGGCGTTTTGCATAAACAGCCATTCTGAAGAGTTGCACCTCTTCAGATTTCAGCCCAACTTTGGCTATAAATACAACACTATTCTGCTCAGAATTTCACTACGATTTTCTGAGTTTTCTCTCCTTCTTCTGCATACTTTCAGCATCAAACAAAGTAAAAAGTAAGTGTGATTTGCTACCGAACTTTGTGTTCGCTGAAACACTGGGGTTTGAAGTACCACTACACCAGTGTGTAATTCGTTCTATCCTGGGAGGAAATAATCCATAACCTTGGGTACTAGGAGGGAATTAAATTCCTTAAGGAAACACTGTGAATTCAGTGGGCTCGAATTGGTTTTATGTCATTTCTGTTTATGTTCATTTCTGTTTATATAGATTTATATTTCCAGAATTATTTTAAAATACAGTCTAATAACAAGCTTAAGGAATTTAATTTATTTTCTGTATTTGTACTTACTGTTTCTGGAAGAGTAAAACCTTTGTGGTTTTGTACTCTATTAAAATCTACGTGATTTTAACGTTTGTGTCATTCTTTTACAGAAATGACTAATGAGAATGAGAACCAAGCTGTTCCAATGGTGACTGCCAATGCCTCAACAAGCCGAACGACACCGGCAGCATTGGCACCGGCGGAGAAACCCGGAAAATTTTCCGGGATTGATTTCAAGCGCTGGCAGCAAAAGATGTTCTTCTATTTGACTACTCTATGTCTCCAGAAGTTCATCAAGGAAGATGTTCCTGTGCTGTCCGATGAAACTCCAGAAACTGAACGCTTTCTCGTGATTGAGGCGTGGAAGCATTCAGATTTTTTGTGCAAGAATTATATTCTAAGCGGGCTGGAGGATGCTTTGTATAACGTCTACAGTGGCGTGGAAACGTCAAAGGAACTGTGGACTGCGCTTGAAAAGAAATACAAAACCGAAGATGCCGGGTTGAAAAACTTTGTTGCTGCAAAGTTTTTGGACTGCAAAATGGTAGATAGCAAGTCTGTTATTACCCAAGTCCAGGAATTGCAAGTGATTATTCACGATCTCCTTGCTGAAGGTATAACTCAAATTAATATTGATGTTGAAAGTAGTAATCTTAGTATTTTTACTAATAGAAATTTCATTGAAGGTCTTGTCATCAATGAAGCATTTCAAGTAGCAGCAATAATTGAGAAGTTGCCTCCTTTGTGGAAGGACTTCAAAAACTACTTGAAACACAAACGCAAGGAGATGTCCCTGGAAGATCTCATTGTTCGGTTGAGAATCGAAGAGGACAACAAAGCTGCTGAAAAGAGAGGCCGTGGAAACTCAACAATAATGGGAGCAAATATTGTTGAAGAGAACAAAAAGAGGAAGAAGGCTTCTGGACCGAAATACAACCCAAGCAAGAAGCGGTTCAGTGGAAACTGCTACAACTGTGGAAAAATCGGACACAAATCTACGGAGTGTCGTGCTCCAAAGAAAGACAAGAAGAAGGGTCAAGCAAACATGGTTGAAAAGCATGATGATGTTGATGATTTATGTGCCATGCTTTCCGAATGCAACTTGGTGGCAATCCTAAAGAGCGGTGGAGTGATTCTGGAGCCACTCGCCATGTTTGTGCTGTTAGAGAAGCTTTTGCTTCTTATTCTCCTGTTGGACCCGATGAGACGATTTCTATGGGAAATGCTTCAAAGGCGAAGATTGAAGGATGTGGGAAGATATTTCTCAAAATGACTTCCGGCAAAGTAGTGACTTTGAACAACGTCCTTCATGTTCCCGAGTATTAGGAAGAATTTAGTCTACTACTGGTACTTCGTTGTTAAGAATTAGGTTTTAAATTGTAGTTTTTGTTTCCGTATAAGGTTG